TAATTGAACTGCTATTGTATCATGGGTCAATACTTCTGAAATAATAATAAAGCTTAAATTTTCCAACTTGTTTTCTTTTATGTAGTAAATTTCGAAAGGATGTATCGTAGCTTGATTATTGTTCCAATGATACCCCTGTGCTGAGTTTTGAATAATAAATGAATAATTTTCAGAAAAGTCGCAAATCACTAAAATTTCACCGTTTTGAAGAGAATTTTTTTTATTACTTAGGTAAGATGATTGCTCTTTATGAATAAAATCATGGGTTATGAGCTTTTCAACTTTTTTCCGTCAAATATTGAACAAACTCATCTGCAGGTTTAATAATAGTTTCCAAATTACAACGGTCGGTAGTCAACCACTGTTGAAATAAAACTTCTTCCATATCATCTGCTTCTAATACTGATGTAAGTTCCCTCACGATACTATCTGTGGAAATGCATTCTTCACATGTACGATAAAAACAATCTATGGTTCTAATAGGACTACTGCAAAGTATTTTGTCTGCAATTTCTTTATATGAATCAAATTTTACACTATTAATAATCAATTTAACATTTTCATGTATAGTACAGACACATACATTATGTGTACCTGTACTATCCAACAGTATGCAATGCTTTGGTCGGAGCTGAGTGAACGAAGTAAATCCGATTTTAACACTTTTGTATTTCTCTTCAAAAATCATAAAAGCCTCTTTAAGAGACATCATCAATAAACGTTTCTGAACATGCTCTTTATATCCATTTCGATATTCAGAAACATAATCATTACTTCCTGGCATAGGCCTACTAATATCATCACTGTCAAAGAAATTTAAAACAATTTGTTTTTCAGTATCATTAAATCCATGACCACTTCTTGCTTTCTTACTACAAAGAATACCTTGTTCTCTGACTAGCCTTTTCATCTGTTTCACTGTATGATGGGGTGCATTAAACTCATTAACTATTTGATTCACTGACCATGATTTAGGGAGCACTGATAACACTTTTAATTTGTCATTTGTACTCGTAGAAGGCAAATTAAATTTCTCCTTTAACTGCATGATCATTTCGTCAAAATCATTTGATTTGTTGACATCGTCTGAATCCATCCCAAATATATTTTTACGCACTGCCTTTGTGATCTCTGCAGATTTTTGAACACGATAATTCATACTTCTCATACTTCTCGATGAAATTGGTGATAACTGTAAGGTTGAAGCTATACAATTGAATTGTTCCACATTATATGGACCTTGGATCTGATCCGCTGATGGGATTGATTCTAGCGATGGATCTGTATCTGTAAAATTAAAGAAAAGAAAAAAAAATATTACCACACATTAATATATAACGCTGTTAAGGTGATAGTACCATGAACGGGGGTGGTTTTGATAATAGGGGTAACTTTGGTAATGCAGCTAAGCCAAAAATTTATGACTTAAGGCACATCGTACGCAATATTTTGGATAGGAAACCGATGTTCCCTTCCAAAATAATGAATACGAAGAGCATTAAGTCATAACTTTTTGGATTAGCTGCATTATCAAAGTTACCTCCATTATCAAAGACATCCCCGTTTACGGTACATCGAAGCCGCATCTGAATTTTCCCCATGTTTGTGGAGCACGAGCTGCATAAACCGCATATCGTACAGTCGTGAAAATTTGATAGATTGTTCACCGAGGTTGGCCTACCAATCGATCAAATTTGTACGATAAGCGGTTCATCCAGCTCGTGCTCTAAAAAAATGTTGAAAATGAAGTTGTATCTTCGATGTACAATCCTTAAACCACACAGTTGAAACAGTTAAAGTTATTATTATTTACCTAGTGTATCATCAAATTCCTGATGTTCTGATTGCTGATGACTTGTTGATGGTTGCGGCTCTTCAAACTTCCGAGCATGGCTTGATTCTTTTCCATCCGATCGCCTCTTTTTCGGGAGAGGTGTCCTATTGTGCACTAAAATTCCACGACACGATTCACAAATACGCATTGTTACATCCAATTGATGATCAAAGCCCCATGAATGTATTTTCTCTATGAGACTTGATGATAAATTACGTAAATTATTGCGGCTGCAATTGGGATTGTTTATGTTGGCACTACATTGCACCCTTTTAATAATCAATTCAGCAGATTTTTCCATTGTTGTATATATAAACACTTTTTCGTTTCAACAACTATGCAGCACTACACTTTCAACAACTATGCAGTGCATAGTATGCACTACAGCAACTATGAGCATTGTTGTGATATCACCAAACTTAAATATTAGATTATGTCGGTAGAAACAGACTGCGGTGCTTTAAGTTTATACCTTATATCTCTCATGTGACTACCTGCGTTGTTATATAACTGCTATATAGCAGGTAACTTAACGATTATTTTAGGCATGTCTTAAATAATCGTTAAGTTACCTGCGCTATTATATGTATTCACTTGAGAGATGAGGTATAAACATATATGCATATTGCTTACTAATGGACACACCTAATACATAAAAATAAATGAATGATTATTTTTCTAATTAAATTAATCACAAATACATGAATTGAAATCTTTTCATGAATAAAACATACTAAGTGATTTTTACTTAGTTTACCTGTTGATTTGGAACAATTTGAGGGTGGTTTTATAGAAGTTGGATAGAGTGTATGCATATATTATAATACAATCCATCACAGGAAAGTGCAAACCATGCTGAGATGGCTGTTCCTCATTAGAACGTTTTGTTCTGAACTCTTATTGGACGATTTGGGTGCTGCCAACCACTGGATGAGTTGGCGTGAAATCCGTCCTATAGATCAATTCACACCATCGGCCACGTCCTCACGGTCTTTTGGGGAAGGAAGGATGATTAGTTCGACGTCTGGTTGTTACTAGAGACCGAGAATACCTCTACATCTCCACGGCTGTCTCGGGAAGGATAGTTGTGTTAGTGAGGTAGTTTATTTTTAGATCAGGATTCACTGTGGTAAGTGATGCGATCGGTTAAAGCAGAATTTGTTTTTATTTAAATATAGTGGGGATAGAATAAGGCAAAGGGAAAAATTGCAAGAAAGGGGACAGACCTGCTCAGTAAGCAGAAACGGTAACCACTGAACTACCGAACCTCGTCGTAATGATATATCGACATGTTTCGTCTAGGAATGATTCTCTGATGACTGTGTTGGAGAAGCAGCATATGCATGTACGCAATTGGTGGATTTGTTAGTTAATTTAACGCTTTTGGACAATGCTGGACATTTACCACTTCTTCAATAGTTTCTTGTTGAAAATCAACATTTGGAAGCATTAGCCATATTTCTGATCGATTGGTGATAACATTATTGAAATTGGACCAGGGGTAGCTGAGTTATTAACGTTCCAAATCTTTCACAATTTTGTTTCATGTTCTATTTTCGGTTTTCACAAAGTGTACCCCCATATAGAAATCACAGACGCAGTCCTACGTCAAAATCGATTCTTTGTCCTGAGGATCAAAACTTTTGAAAATAATGATTCAAAATTAATCACAAATTCCAAACCTCACAAAATTTTTGAAAAAGGATAATCAAAAGCTTATTCCAGCGCTTTACGAGGGTGGTAAAATTTTGATCACAAATTCGGAAAAAGCTCAGAAACATGCTAAGCAATTCGAGAGTTTCCATCATTTCAGTTTGGGTCTTACTATTTAGTCTTATTGAGAATCAAGTTGCTCGGGATTATCTGAATATTTTCTCCCGGGAAAATATTTTGGATGATTCCCGGGGGACTGATTTGGACGAAGTAAGATCTATAACTAAAAAGTTTCATAATATGAAAGCTCCAGGTGATGAGGAATTTTCTACATATATCCTTATCAAAAAACTCCTAGAGAGTACTTTGTATTTCTTGGTAAAACTATTTAACAGATGTTTCCATTTGGCATGCTTTCCTGATAAATGGAAAAATGCAAAAGTTGTTCAAATTTGGAAGTCGGATAAAAATCAAATTAATGCTTCTAGTTACCGTCCAATAAATTTGCTTTCTTCAATCAGTCATTTTTTGAAAAGATAAATTTGAATAAAATGATGCTTCACAACAATATGAGCACAATTTTTGCAGATTAACAGTTTGGATTTCATTCATTGGATGGGCACTCAACTACTCATCAACCCTTAAGAGTTACCAATTTAATTCGCTCAAACAAATCTGGAGGCTGCTCAAATGGATGTGATCTTCTAGACATAGAAAATGCTTTCGACAGTGTTTGTATTGAACGTTTGAGTGCCAAATTAAAAAAAAAATTCCACTCTATATTATGAAATGATGTAACTGACAGAACTTTGCAGGTAAATCATCAAAATTCCAAATCTAAACGACTGCCTGTTTAAGCCGGAATTCTTCATCGTAGCATCTTAGGCCTATATTGTTTCTAACATTTTCACTTCGGACCTCCCTGATTTGCCTCAGAGTTGCCACAAATCTTTGTTCGCTGATGGAACAGGCATTTCCGCTAAAGGAAGAAGTCTTCATGTTATTTGCAGCAGACTGCAGAAAAGTTTAGATATTTTCTCTTCTCTATCTTTATCTAGTAAGAAATTAACTTTTAGAGATCACATTGACTGGCATTTAAGCTTTTTACAAAAATCGTCTTTAAACACAGTGTGCACCGCCTTCGGCATGGAAATACTGTGCCTTAATTGACTAGGTTATCAAGGCCCCTAAACATAAATCTACTGAATCAATTCATTTCGAAATCCATTAGGATTCCTAGGCTGTCAGAGGATATGATTTCTGAAATTTCTGAAATTATACCGCATACGTTCGGCATTGAAATAAGCCCATGTCAAATCTCGTAGCTCTTAAGTATATACAATAGAAGTAATAACAAAAACCCATTATACTTATATTACTCCGCTTTGTCATAACTGCATTGACTAAATTTTCTAGGCCACTACATGCTCCGCTAGCACACCCTCAAACGCCCGCACACCAGAGATAATGGCTAATCATTTTTCCGGCCGCTTTATCGTCGCTATAATTCCAGGAACCCAGGTTACATCAGTGGAGGCCGGTTAAACGTAACCGCCATGGGAAATTATACTGTGGATCGCCGTGACGGAAGTGGTGGGAAGCTGCACGTGCGCTTCCACGAGAGCACTGTCGTACGCCGCAGGGACATGAATGGCCTCAGACTGAAGATAATGACCGTTGTGACGCAGAAGCCCCGTAAGCCGTTTGAAGTGTACCTGTCGACGCCGACGGATACTCACCTGGACTCGGTGCACCGGTACAATTTTGGGCTTATGAGCTATCTGAAGAGCTATTTCAATTTCAGGTGAGCTACTTTTTTCCTCTTTTGATGGTCGTATTCAGCTGGGAGTTTCAGTACAAATTAAGCAATATGGAAAAGCATTAACTTTTCCTCCTTACATAGCCTTATTTACGGCGTCCCTTAGTGTGTTTCACAACGGCAACCCATTCATCTTTCACACATGATTGATGATGATTATGACGATAATGATGACTTGAATGTGGGATCATCATGACATTTGCCGGCAGCTGTGCCAGTTTTTGTCCAGTTTTTCGCTTCTGGTGCTGTAGCTCCATACCAGCTACAGAGTCGAGGAAAAACTTGTGCTCCAATTTTTCCCCTTTTCACTCAATCTATTATCGGTTGACGGTGCCCGGTGGACACAGTAAAGCCAGCAAAATTGATACTAATAAAATATCCCATATATGAACCGTTTTCATTTTCCCATTTTCTCTATTGTATAGCTTCATTATGAGACGGACCAAGAGCTGGGGCTATCTGCGAAATGGAACGTTCGACGGGATGATTGGTGCACTGGCCAGGCGGGAAGTCGATCTCGGAGGGTCACCGATGTTCTTCCGCCAGGAACGGCACCGAGTGGTGAGCTATACGACTCGTTCGTTCATGGAAAGGTAAGTGTTTATACATAGGCTATGATTTGCTGTTGTTGAAAGGGATGGAACAATTTCTACAACTGTCGCTGAAATTAAATTGAAGATATTAGCCATAAGAAGGATTGATCAGAGTTTCATGGTGAAAATATTGCAAGATAAAAGAATTTTGTTTGTTTTCCTATACTTATTTCCCTATAAACTTCAAACGGCTTTTCTTGAACATTGGAGGATCTGTTTTGATCTCAACGCTCTGTGCAAATTTAACCTGAATCGGATAAAGTACCAAAGTAGACTCCTGTGCTGAACGTAATTCCCCAGATTTTTTTTCGTTCAGGCCATAAAAAAAAAATTGTTTAATGCTGTAGCCCTTAAATTCAAAATAGTTTTTTTACTGGCCTGGGCGAAAAAGTTTCTCAAGGATTATTTTTAACATTTATAGTCTACTTTGGTGCAAACTGCGCAATATATTGTTTGAAAAGTTCATGTAAATTTCTGCAATGCATATAGTACTTGATGTGGGTTAAATTAAAACCACAGACAAACAGACATAACACTCGCAACTTGTTCATTGAACAACCATTTAACGGTAAATTTAAAAGTATCGTAGTTGGTAGCACCGCCACCTGTGGCGCGCATAGTCAATTCCCTTTCGTTTGACGTTTACACACTACCGCCATCTGTTCAGCGTAGTGCCCGCCACAGTGTACTCAACAGATGGCAGCAATGTTTTAGCGACGATGTTTTACAGTGAGAAATATTCAATGTGTTATGTCTGTTTGTCTGTGTTAAAACTATATTTTATCTAATATAAATCAGCAATGTTGTATTCAACCTCAAATAAAACGAGGGAAAATTTTCAGTGACGGTAGAAATAAAGATTTGTTTTTCGGTGCGGCTCTTCTCTTACAGGAGGCAGGATTACGTAGCGGAAGATCTTGTTTTATGCCATATTCGCATGCTGGATCAGGTCAACGAGATGAAGTCACTGTATTTTGTAATCCTTTGTTTACTTGTTACTAACTGATGTCATATGACAACATGGTCTACAATGTTGAAAAAAATCGTCATATTTATAAAACAGCAGAAAAGGTTAACTTTCTTTAAACTCCACTTAAATAATTTTGGATACGTATTTTAACTACAAAGTCTTTAGTCTTCATCAGTGTCATTCCCACTAAAGACTTATCATAATCTAGCTCCCTTAAGTACTAAAATAAGTACTAAAATGTCAATATCACAGGTATAAATATGAAACTACAACGTGTAGAATCGGAACGTACCTAACTAATAAAAACCAAAGATTTGAGTAAAGTGAAGGAGCAAAATCTATACATCTCTTTAATAAGGAAAATCCTCAAAGGCTTGGTATGATCGCTACATGTAGGGGAAACGCTTCTATAGTTGCGGTGCGTTATAAGCGTTAGGTTAGCGTTGCTATAGTTTTGCAATACACGACTATAGAAAACTAACGCTTTTTACGTACAGGAACTATAGGAGCGTTTACCCTATAGAAATTGGATTGTTAGCGTTCGTAGTATTGTAGTAGTTGTAGTGTTCGTCTGTTCTAAAAAAACTTACGTTGTCTGTACCTTGGGGTCAATTTGATCCCAAATTCAAATTGTCATATATCAGCTTTTGTACTGATTCTATTCGTTATTCATACGGGACTCAAAAAGGTGACCACACTACGCTACAATATTCCAGTGTTTTTATTGTTTAAGAGTCCTGAAGACTGTGACTAAAATGTTTTATAAATCTAAGCATGTAATTTCCTCTTTTGATGGCTGTGTTATACTGATCAATGAATGTTAATTTTGAATCTAAGATAACTCCTAAATCCCCAATTCTTTCACACTTTTCTACTAGCTGATTTCCTTGAGCTATTGTTATGTGAATGCATAATTAATAATGAACATTTGTTTACATTCATGATTAGTAAACATTGCCCTCAGCTGGTGTCACTTTTTCTCGAGTGAGTGAACTCAAATCCATTCGTGTACTCGTCTATAGGTTGAAACTCTCTTCTGTTTACCCCGGGAGATTCTGCTCCGTCCCAGAAGGGGACGGCTTTTGGATATTATGAGACGTATAGACGGAGAAAATTGCACTCATTGTGCGGCTGCTGTAGAGACCATTCCGCACAAATTCTTTGCTTGCCCTAGAGTACGTGGTGCATTTGAATTACTTCAGCAAAAATTGTTGGCGTTAACTGGCAGACGGCGATCCTTCCAGTGCGAAGAACTTCTAAGACCTTCATTAGAAAGGATATCTGTGACTACGAGAACAACAATTCTGAAGATCTTATTTATATAGGGGAAATGACGGCTTCGGCATGACAGACTATTTTCGGCAACCCAAATTGAAACACTATTTTCACTGGATTTTCTTTCGAAAACACTTCGCTGAATGCATGCAAACGATTCTTTATGCTTTCAGCTTCAATTTGACTATATTTTTTATCACTGAGAAAAAGCAATCTAGCAGGGTTTTCTTGAAATGAAACAACGCACTACAAATTTTAGTTGATTTCGAGTTGCCGATAATAGAACAGCAGATTTACATGCAGTTCAAATGGAACGGTTGCCGAAGAAAAACTGGTTGCCGACAATACTCGCTCTCACTAGAGAAGATTGGAGCTTTGTAAAAGCGTTTCAAAACAGTTTTTGACAATTCTTTCGACTGAAATTGTTAGAGCAGCTGGCAGCAAAAGATTGTAAATAAACCAATACTGCATATGTGTGCGTTCCATAGAGAAAAAGGCTATAGAAAGAAGGTCGCTGCTTAGGTTGCCGAGAATACGTAAATTCCCCTACATCACTTCCATTGAAAAATATAATGATAGGATAAATAGATGTAGATATTGATGCATTTAATTTTAATATTGAAGTTGGAGTTTAATTTATTATCAACATAATTTAAACTAAACAAAAATCGACAAACAGTACCCTTTTTATAACATAACTCTTTTGTTTAAAATTTCCAATTTTTTTAATGTTCTACAAAAACACATAGGGGAAAAGTTGGCTTCGGCAATACCTTAACCTATTATCGTCAGGGAGTAAACAACGTCCTTGAGAGCTCAATTTTGGCATGTGGATACATTGTGTTTCAGAGCAAATATTGGCAAAACTTGAGTGCTCTAGGACTTTGTTTACCCCCTGACGATAATAGGTTAAGGTATTGCCGAAGCCAACTTTTCCCCTATGTTTGCTGAATAAACAAATCGCTATCTCTTTGTGTAATGGATTAACGTCCGTGTTTATATTTTTTAAACACTATCTTTAAGGGATGTATCTTGCACGTTAACAGGTTACTTACTTACTTACATACTAACTTATCCTGGTCCGACATCCCTCAGGATTGCACCTGCATCACAATGTTACGCCAATTCACTTGGTCACAGCTTCGCGGGAAAACCGTTCTCGTCCATAATCTTCCATAGCTCTTCACAGTCAATAGTATCATAAGCGGCCTTGAAATCGATGAATACGTAGTGCGTAAGGACTTGATATTAATGACACTTTTGGAGGATTTGCCGCAACGTAAAGATTTGGTCCGTTGTCGATCGCCCGTCCACAAAACCGGCTTGATAACTTCCCACAAATGCTAGTGGCGATAAACGGCGAAAAATGATCTGGGAAAGCATTTTGTAAGCCGCGTTAAGAATAGTGATCGCTCGATAGTTCTTACATTCTAGTTTGTCGCCTTTTTTATATACTGGGCATATTACTCCCTCTTTCCACTCCTCCGGTAGCTGTTCTGTATCTCAGACCCTGACTATCAGTGGCCAACTTATCCGGGTCCATTTTAATAAGTTCCTTTGTTTTGTTGTTGCTGTCGGATAGCATCCTTAACTTCGCCTATCGTGGGAGCTGGCTTGTCCCCCTCATCCGCTGTACCAACGAAGCCATTCCTCCTGCCGCCTTGGTTCTCCGCCTCTGCGCCGTTCAGATGTTCATCGTAGTGCTGCTTCCACCTTTCAATCACCTCACGTTCGTCCGTTAAGAAATCCCCTTCCTTATCCCGACACGTTTTGGCTCGCGGCACAAAGCCTTGGCGGGATGCATTGAGTTTCTTGTAAAACTAGCGTGTTTCTTGAGAACAATACAGCTGCTCCATTTCTTCGCACTCTAGCTCTTCTAGGCGGCGCTTTTTATCCCGGAAAAGATGGGTTTGCTGTCTTCGCTTATGTTTATATTGCTCCACATTATGACGGGTTCCTTGCTGCAGCATCGGCGCTGTAGATAGCTGCGTTCACGTTGTTCCAGCAGTCCTCAAGAGAGGCTTCGGTGAGCTCTCCCTCATCCGGCAACGCTGCGTCGAGGCATTGCACGTACTCAGTTGCGACTTCAGGCAGCTTCAGTTGCTCCAGATTGTACCGTGGCGGGCGTCGGTACCGAATGTTGTTGGCAACAGAAAGTTTTTGGTGCACCTTGACCGTTAGAAGGTAGTGGTCCGAATCGATATTTGCGCCGTGATAGGTCCTGACGTCGATAATGGCCGAGAAGTGCCTTCCGCCGATCAAAACGTGGTCGATTTGTGATTCTGTCTGGTGCGGGCCATGTTCTTAGAGGCGACAAAATCGATGAGTCTAAGGCCGTTGGCGTTCGTTAGCTGGTGAGCGCTGAACTTTCCTATAACTGGTCTGAATTCCTCCTCGTGGCTGACCTGAGCGTTAAGATCTCCGATGACGATTTTGACGTCATGGCTTGGGCAGCTGTCGTATTCCCGTTCCAGCTGGGCGTAAAAAGCGTCTTTATCGTCATTGTCATTTGCTAAGTGAGGGCTGTGTACGTTGATTATAATGACATTGAAGAAACGGCCTTTGATCCTCAACTTGCACATTCTGCTATCGATTGGCCACCACACAATCACGCGCTTCTGCATTTCGCCCATCACGATGAAAGCTGTACCCAGCTCATTTGTATTGCCGCAGCTCTGGTAGATGGTATAACCATCCATATACGTATGTACCGACGATCACTTCCAGCAAACCTCCTGCAGCGCTACAATGTCGAACTTACGGACCCTCAATAAATCGGAAAGAATGCGGGTACTTCCCAAGAAATTGAGAGACTTGCAGTTCTATGTTCCGAGTTTTCAATCAATAGTCTGTTTCCGTTGCTTGGGTCTATGCCGATTGTTCCGGTCCGTATTTATATTGCTTGCTTCCTGTACTTTTATTTTTTACGGCTGGCTTGTAGGGCCTGCACCAACCCCCATTGTCTCGCCGGAGGACCATCGTGCACAGCACTGTTTAGAGTCCCACGCTGGCACCAGGACGTTGATCAGCCACTCCTAACATGGACAACAGACGTCGTTTTGAACCGCAACTCCATAGTGAACAGACGCTCGATGACTGCACTCCCCGGAGAGAGGAGTCCCACCTTCCCTGTCAGCATACGACCAAGGTCTCACCGGGGTTGGCTACCCGATCTTTCCTATGGTTACTCGTACCCAGCCGGCACCGCGGGGAGGTTGGGATAGGAGTTACTGGACAAGAGGCTAAGGACCGCTAGTGGGGTCTATTTTATACCTGCAGATACGCGAAGTATCAATGGTACGCATTGTGCAGCCGTTTACCAGCCAGGTAATAGGTATTAGCAGCTAATCTCAACGTTATTTTGTTCAACAACTTATACTTTACTGTTACATATACAATTTATATGGGGATCCAAGGTAATGATTTTTTTATAAAGTACTTCAATGTTTTGTTAAGTATTGCTGTTTTCATGATCATATTTTGAAGTATTTACATTAGGGTCGGTTCCCCACTGCTAATGAAAATGGTCATGAAAACAGCAAAACTTAACAAAACATTGCGGTACTTTATTAGAAAAATCATTAGGCATCACCTTGAATTGATCTATCAATTGTATATGTAACAGTAGGGTATAAATTGTTCAACAAAATTATTAGTTTAGCTGCTAATACCTGTTCCTGCAAGATACATCCCTTAAACATAGTGATTAAAAAATATACACACGGACGTAAATCATTTACACAAAGAGAAAGCGGTTTGTTTATTCAGCAAAAAATTGTGTTTTTAAATCAATTACAACTTTGTACAACATTATCAAAATTGTAAAATTCAAACAAAAAATATATGGTAACAAATTGTGTTTAAGGGGGTAGTTTGTACTCCATTTTGACCCTATAACTTCAGCCAGTTGAGAGATAGAAAATTATCGTTTTGGACCAAGTTTCTTAAAATGATGTCATCTACAATGATTCCATAGATGTTCATCAATTTTAACAAGACATAAGAGAGGTATTTTTTTTATCTTAGGGTATTATTTTAGTGTTTTTTTTATTTTAGTGTATAGTTCAGTGAGTTGTGGCTTATTACCACTTCTAACCAATGAATACAAAAAAAAAATCTAGCCTTTCTATTTTTTTATGATGCGTTTATTTTTCCAGGCTCATTTGCTGTAGCTTTGCGGAGCCGATGTTCATTGTTTAGATTACAAAATTACTTAAAACTAACGTTAGTAAAGCGGGGGCCGATTACTCGCGGCTATCTCGAGGTTAGGGGTAACAAATTGTAACAAATTGATGGCAGGGTAGGGATTGTGAAGACAAGGTTTGGAGAGCAATGTGCTCTTGATCTCGAACTAAGTGACATACTGATGAAAAAGACAAACATGGAGGTACACCGATGGGCAGCTTACACTTGGGAGAACACAAGATGACACTAACTACTAAATCCTCAGATCGATCCGTTTTAAACACACATAAATTACATTCAAATAGTCGAGATCTCGGCTCGCCAAGACATCTCTAACGGATATCGCAGGTTGTTTTCCTCGGGCCCTGAGGGACATGGATAACTCAGATCTGGCAACACGGTGTAAGATACATAACCAAACAACATGCTTGATATCGTGATAACCACTGCCACACGCACATAAATTGCTGTCTGAGAGCTCAATTCGATAGAAGTGTGAGTCTAATGAGCAGTGATTGGACATAAGCCTTCATATAACGCGTATAAAGTCGCGGCTCATGTTCAACCCTTTGAACCATGGTTTGTTCGACACCTGTGGGAGAATAGAATGTAACCATCTTCCCAATTCACCATCATTCTATTTTTGTTGCCAACTGATGAGGACTTGCTGACTAGCAATGGAGAAAAATTCGTTGAAGGCGATTTGTCGCTCAAAAATATCGCCTTCCATAGCGCTCACCTTAGCCAACGAGTCCGCTTTGTCATTATCCGGAATTGAGCAAAGAGATAGGACCAAGCCCTAATTTTTCGTTAAGACTTTATATTCTATTTGCTTTTTTGTACATTCAGGGCCCTATACACCTACAAAAAATGATTTTAATATTACCAAACGGTAACAAGGTATTCATAAGTTATTTTCTCTTGCTCGAATATGCATTGAAAATAGCTAGTGCATTTTATAATATTACTTCGGAGTTTTCTTTTTCATGGCGACATGACCGTAAATAAAAATTTTATAAAAAAAAAATGTTACTCGAAAAAACGTCTTTCTATTGAGTTGAATTTCTCATCGTAGGGGAAATGGATGTAATGTCGGACTAAATACCTCTAATTTGGGTCCATATATAAATTATGAAATCGACAAAATTTTCAATAGCGACCAAAAATATCCATTAGTCCCGTCCCAATGACGCGTTCATCTAGATAAAATTGATAAATAGCAGACTTTTAGCGATGGGCCCAATCTTAGATCCATAGGCCAACATTAGAGCCATTTCCCCTATATGGTTTATTTTATGTCTTAGGGAATCGACTAAGTTGTTCGTAGTGTGTTTCATGTAATATTTGAAAAACTACGTCAAACAATTCTAAGTTGAGAGCAAGTAAGAACCTGCAAAAATATTTAAAAAAGAAAGCCATATAGAAAAGAAGGTACATCCCGAACAACAGTAACTCAACAGCCACTGTAAACTCCAATGTAAGACGAATAATTCCCAATGTATTCTTTCATTTTGCGCAAATTCTAAAAGGCCATGCTTCATTTTCCGACATCCACGGCGGCAAGACACGGTGAGAAACCCCTTCCTACTGCCGTTCGAAACCGTTATCTGGTATTTGATGGTGATTTGTGGCGCAATCCTGGTTGTGGTACTGTTCACCAGTTTCTACTTGGAAGATTCAGGTAAGAAATATGATCGTAAATAGATAACTTAATTCGTTCAAGCGAACTGCACTGCACCGAAAGAGAATCTGCTGCACTACTGTGTGGGTGTGTTTGAGCTACCATTCATTGAGCTAAAGTAGAGTTTAGAGTTAGGAAAAACTTTTTGCAACTTTTTCCCCGTTGTCATTTTCCTGCTTGCAATGATTGATGAAGCAAATCTTCTGAAACTCAAATCGTGCGAGTTCCGAACAAAAATGGACAATCTTCGAAGAATGAATGAAAGCGGAGAAAATCGAGCAAAAAAGTTTTTCTTTTCAACGTGTTTGATTTTTTTTTCTCTAACGGTGGGAAACTATTTTCCTTTTGGTTGAAATTTGCTGTTTTCTTTAGTGGATCCACATTTTTCAAAGCATATTGTAGACCTCAGCAGAAAATAAAGCAAACGGGCTCCAGATCTTCACGTCTGTGGGACGTGGATGATTCTTATGATATGTACATATAAATTTTTATTTCTTCCCTTCGAGCAGCGTCAGGACTGATGGTTACTGCATTCTACCTTCACTGAGTTTGGCCTATATCACTGAGCAGTGTACAGTACAGTGTATAGTAGCAGAACCATCATCGAAGGAAGAGTTTGGATTTCATAATCCCATTCCTAGAATGGAACAGCAGAGCAGTAGTGAGAAAAGATTGGTAAAAAATATATTCAAAAAAGGAAAGTTTCTTTTATTGTTGTTTCGTGAGAGAAATATTTCATTCCGTGTGCATTTATATCAAAATCAAGATGAAGTGCGAGGAAAAGTTCTGAATGGGGAAATAATGCAGAGTTTATGCATTTATGAAATGCCTGCAAGCTGTGAAGACGAGCGCTTGTGCAAGTTATACGGATATAAGGAAGTTGATGCTAGAGAGAGGACGTCTGCACGGTTCACATCCGCCAAACCCATCGAGCTGCTGAAACATGCGTTCTCAGTGTAAACTAGAGGTGGGCAAAACAGCTCATCTAGCTGAGTGGATCAAACCCATCCAGCTCACTAAAGGGAGTCGATTCTTTTGAACAGCTCTTCAGCTCACATTGAAATAATAGAAATTATGGCACAAATTCAAAATCGGAAATTAATTTGTAGTTTTAGTGCATAAAACTGCATAAAACCGTAAAAGTAGTCTAAACTAATAAATCCGTACCTTATTAAATGTCACTACTTTTCAATGGAAAACGCTAATAACGCAACAACTGATCAACCACCGCGTAAACCAAAATTTGCACAAAATGTGCCAACAACATATGAGTAAAAGCAAAAAATGTGTGCGAGAGAGCTACACCTATGTCACACGCGATGATATGATTCACATCGTGGCACACGATGTTACGCCTTTTCTCATGCTATGCAATCCAGTATACATACAGATTTTATTTCTGATGTTAATTCTGCAGCAGAATTTCTCTCACTATTATCGGCTTCAGCTACAGCTCATCAGCTCAGATCCGGATCCGGAGCTGAATCGTGAAGAATCGAGAGAGAAAAAAAGATCCGAAGAGCTGGACGGGTCCGAGAGTTGTCAACAGCTCCCAGTGAATTATTCGAGTAGATGATTCGGATCCGGAGCTGAGCTGATAAGAGAACTGCATTTCACATTTTTCGGTTATTTGTTTTGTGCGAATCTTCCGCTCCCAAAGAGAATGATGGGAGGAGAAGTGAGAGCACATATGCTGGAGGAATAACATCAGCAATAAGAGCTGGGTACATAAACAAATTGGATAATACCTATAGAAAATTAACATCGCGTAGCACATGTGCATACTATGTCTCTCTCTCCCAAACAGCCGCTTTGAAGCTGCTTTTACCATTGGTGCTGTCGATCAGTAGGCACATGGTGTATTACGCTTGCGTCTTGGTTTTCGCGGTGACTATTCAATGCGTAAGTGGAGTAATGAGTCCTTTTTTAAAAAGTTCCGCTATGAATGATGGATTGAATGGTATAGACTTATGATATCAGTGAGCTGATGAGCTGGGATTACTAAAAAATGAAACGCGAGTCATCAGCTCACTTTAGAGAATCGCGTCTATAGAACAGCTCGGGAGTAAATCGCCCATCTCTAGTGTAAACGCATAATATTTTAGTTGCGTAAAGACAATTTATAACACACGATTTTTTTTTTATGATTTTTCATACAAACGAAATATACTTTATTAATCAGATTGTATTAGGGGAAATGACGGCTTCGGCATGACAGACTATTATCGGCAACCCAAATTGAAACACTATTTTCACTGGATTTTCTTACGAAAACACTTCGCTGAATGCATGCAAACGATTCTTTATGCTTTCAGCTTCAATTTGACTATATTTTTACCACTGAGAAAAAGCAATCTAGCAAGGTTTTCCTGAAATGAAACACACGCACTACAAATTGTAGCTGATTTCGAGTTGCCGATAATAGAACAGTAGATTTACATGCAGTTCAAATGGAACGGTTGCCGAAGAAAAACTGGTTGCCGACAATACTCGCTCTCACTAGAGAAGATTGGAGCTTTGTAAAAGCGTTTCAAAACAGTTTTTGACAATTCTTTCGACTGAAATAGTTAGAGCAGCTGGCAGCAAAAGATTGTAAACAAACCAATACTGCATATGTGTGCGTTCCATAGAGAAAAAGGCTATAGAAAGAAGGTCGCTGCTTAGGTTGCCGAGAATACGTAAATTCCCCTACTTCATGCGTGAAGATTAGACGGTTAGAAAGATGAAGGAGCTACATAATTAACGGTCGACTCTCTTACAGCGGTACGAAACTCTACCGCTTCTGTGGTATCCTACTGTTTATGTACAAGAAACGTGAAGGTTCCGAACATAAAACAAATAAAACTATAACTCATGGACTGGTGACCAGACAGTAACATCATATTGTTTTATTATCAGATTTCTCTAGATTTCCTTTTGAAGCATTATACAATTTTTGCAGAGATCTTGTAACACAATCATCCAAAGATTCTCTCTGGCATTCCATCAAACAAATCCAGAACGTTTTAGGAGTTCTCGCAAAAAAAAAAAAAAAAAACGTTAATGTTTTTTATTATTATGTTATTAAATTGGTAACTCTTTAGAGTTGATGAGTATTAGAATGCTCTTGGCGAAATCCAAACTGCTCATCTGCAAAAATTGAGTTCGCATTTATATGAAACATCATTCTACTTGAAATTATCTTTTCAAAAAGATAGAAAGCAAACTTATTGGACGGTAGCTAGAAGCTTCAGCTGGATCTTTATCCAGTTTTAAAATTGGAACAACTTTTGCATTTTTTCATTTATCAGGAAAGTATGCCAAATGGAAACATCTGTCAAAAAATTTTTGCAAGAAAGACGAGGTACTCTCTGGGAGTTTTTTGATGAGGATATAGAAAATTCCATCATCACCTGGAGCTTTCATATTTTGAAACTTTTTAGTTATAGACCTTACTTCGTCCAAATCAGTCCCCCAGGAATCATCAAAAATATTTTCCCGAGAGAAAATATTCAGATAATCCCGAGCAACCTGATTCTCAATAGAGACCCAAACTGAAATTATGGGAACTCTCAAATTGCTTAGCAAGTTTCTGAGCTTTTCAAAAATTTGTGATCAAAATTTTACCTTTTTGCTTTTGAGGTTTTTTCAAAATTTTTGTGAGTTTCCAAAAGGGTTTGGAACTCGGGTCTAATTTAGAAACATTATTTTCAAAAGTTGTGTTCCTCAGGGCAGAGAATCGCTTTTTAATTTGTTTTTGCAAATCCCACCAGATAACTTTCATGGCAGGATCGCGTGTGCTTTGATATTGTCTCCTACGGACATTTTTAAGACGGATCAATAGCTGAAGATCGTCGTCTATTATAATTGAATCAAATTTAACTTCGCATTTTAGTACTTCTTTGGTTTGCAAAGGAATGTTTCGATCGAAGTTATATTCCATAAATGTTCGATACTGCTCCCAATCAGCTCTATGGTAATTGAAAGTAGAGCTGTTGGGATTACAAATTATTTCTTGGGATATTTCAAAAGTTACTGGAAGGTGATCAGAACCGAAGTCAGCATGGGTAACCAATTGGCTACAAAGTTGACATGAATCAGTTAAGACCAAATCAATAGTGGAGGGATTTCTTGCAGAAGAAAAGCATGTTGGGCTGTTTGGATATTGAATAGTGTAATAACCTGCAGAGCAATCATCAAATAGTATATTACCATTGGATTTTCTTTGAGCATTATTCCATGAGCGGTGTTTTGCATTGAAATCACCAATAATGAAGAATTTAGACCTATGACGGGTAAGTTTCTAAAGGTCACCCTTAAGAAAATTCTTTTGCTGGCCTACGCATTGGAATGGCAAATAGGCAGCTATAAAGGTAAGATGTTCAAATTTTGTTTTAACAGAAACTCGCAAAGTTTCAAAAACTTTGTTTTCAAATAAAGAAAGAATTTTATGCTTGATTCGTCTATGAACAATGATGGCAACGCCATCATCAAGGCGATCATTTCTTTAAATGAAATCATTTGCGTCCCTTTTAACCTTATGGTCAGGTTTAAGGAAGTTATAACGTTAATATGCACGTTTTGAACTCTCAAAAAGTTAAATAGCTCGTCTTAATTGTCTTTAAGAGATCGAGCATTCCAATTTAAAATATTTAATGCTATAAAATGCATAAGTGAATTTCAAAGTCATGACAATATTGTTTGCAAATTTTACTCCGGTTTGAATAGCATCAAACATGTAGTTAGATTTAAGCATATTAGTAATCATGTCAATTAATGATTTCTGTAAAAATTCCATTTTAGGGGCAGTAATACTTCTTAAGTCAAAATTTTCAAAATTTCCGTAAGAATTCCGTTGGTTAGTATTTTGATTTCAACCCGCTGCAATAGCAGCATAGGTAGCTCCATTAACTCGCTGAACATTGTTAGCAGCGAGGGGAGTAGGTACAGATGAAAAATTTGAAGCAGGGGTGATATTTGTACCTACGGGTACGAATGTAGAATTTGTTCCTCGCTGACCG